TATTCAAGTCTAACTCCAAAGCATGATTTTCTGCCAAATAGAATTCCGAAGCATGAGAGTTTGTCACGTAGGATCAGTGCATTATAAAATTATTTATATATATATATATATATAGAGGGGATAAATAACAAATAACGAATTAAAAAAGAGTATATGTTTTTGTAAATAATTACCTACTTAAAAAATAATAAGAATGATAATAACAAACGTGAGAATTATTATAGTTCACATTACAACTGTTTTCCATGATAACACATCTTTTGTACCAAAGTAAACTTTGACAAAATTTAATAATGTTGAAAATATTTCTAGTAGAAGAAAATTAACAAGTACTTAAATTCAAATGAATTTTTCATCTATAAAAATAATTAACTGTATATATATATATAAATATATATATATATATAATAGGCTCAAATAATGTATATAACTTTATATATAACTGTTTATTTCACTATTATTATAAAATTAATACTATAAGGAAAATATTAAATCGTTAAATTAGGTATCACATTTCTAATATTATATTTATATAGATGTTTATTTAAACATAAATATAATTAAAAAAATTACAGATAATTTTATAGTCTATCTAACATAAATTGCAAACTTGAGTGGTGAAAATTCCAAAGATGCAACACGAAGTTACTGATTGAAAATTTGCTAAAAATTTCAGACAAAGAAAGCCCATCACACTAAGCATCCAAAAACTCGTCTGCCAAAAAATTCGGCCCATAAAGCCTAATGATACCATCATACCAACTTATCTTATCCATCAAAGAAATAAACAGAGAAAGTTTAACAAAAATAAATGAAAATGACGGCATCCAATTGGTCGACAACAAAGTTTGCGTTTTCAACCACACACCACACTAAGAGCATCTCCAATGCAACTTTTGACATTATAAAAAGTCATCCATATCATCAACTTTTGAAAGTGTGTCTCTATTTTTTTCTCCAATGCATCTTGTCATGAACTCGTTCATGATGAGGTGGATGTCATTTAATGTTGACAATGTTGAGCACACTTTCTAATATCTAACATCATGTTAAACATGATGATTCATCAATGTACTTTATATTTGTTTTAATTTTTTACTTTTTTTTGTATCAATAAATTATTTAATTGGTCCACCTATACAAATAACTTTTTATCAAATTGATGCATTGGAGATACTAGTTTCATTAAAATTTTTAGTCTTTTAACATTATTCCAATGTGGATTAACATTACAATCACTAATTGACATGTGTTAAAAATAATGGTCTTTCACACTTATAGCATTGGAGATGCTCTAATGTTCACTCTCCTAGTCAACATGGGAATGTTTTCAACCACACACCACAGACCACACCAATATTTTCTTTCATGCAAAAAAAAAAAAANCCTCATGCACCCAGAGATAAAAAATAAAAAAAAAATAAAATAAAAAAATCATCGATATTATAAACAACAATTTGCCACTAAATTCCTAGTTACTAATCAACTTTCAGTTCAGTTCTTCTTTTGTTTATTTTCTTATGCACTCTCCATTACCATTTTCTCTTTCCTCTCAACTAACCGAATATATATTTAACTATTATTAACTATTTACTTTGATTGGTAAAGCTTAAAAATTTGAAAAAGGTCATAACAAATAAAACCCCCATCCACCCTCATCGGCTTTTCTCTTCGAGAATCTCACCATTTTCATCGCAGACGACTTGCTTGAAATTGACATCGAAATTTACAGCTCGCCGTCACAATCAAGTTTGGCCTACTGTCTCTATAAAAAATTACAGGCCACCGTCTCCATCAATCTGGCCTTTCCCGTTCACAACTCGTCGTCTCCGTCAAGCAACAAACTGTGGGCTCTAAATCTCAAAAAAATCATATTCCTCTACTTCAAAACTAAAAAATATGGTTACTGTAGTTTTTAGGGCTTTATTAAAAATTTATTTTGTTTTAGAATTCGAATTTTTTGAGAATTTGTGTGTTTGTTATTTATTTTGTGATAATATGTTATTATTATTTTTTTAATGGAACGATAGATTCAATAACTGAAACAAATGTACAAAGTTCAATGGCTAATTAGCCATAACATGGAGGATCACCCACATGGTGTCCTAAACCACAACTGACAACCACAATCATAGAGCAACAGAGACTAAGCTACAAAATACTGCTCTGCTCAAGCCAACCTGAAACAACCTACCACATAAACAAGCAACACACAGCAACAGAGAAATAAGCACAAATACATTGCACTTCAGCAGTTGTACACAACACAGAGTCTAAAACCAATCAAATAAAACTCAAACAATAGACACCCTAAGACTTCAGCCACCGCAATAGATATCAGCCCTGAAAATTGTCAAGAAATCCACAGAAAGAAGTCTAACCTCCTGAAGGTCAACCACTGAACCTCAAAGAACCTAGTTGATCTTCAGATATGGCTTAACTTTTCTCTGTAAACTCCAGCCAGTCTTTGAAGCACTTGTCCACAACATTTTTAGTTGGCCTTTGAATCTGCTGAAATACCCATTGATTTCTTGACTTTCATATCCACAACAATAAAGAAAACTGTTATAAATTGTGAAATAGTAAAAGTAAAAAACATGAAACTATATTGTTTGAACGTTAAAGCAAAGAAAAAACCCCTTTCTCTCTCCTTCCGTGTTTGTTCCCCAAATCCCACGAAACCTTTATTTCATCCTCAGTATGGCCTCCTCTCTGGTGATGCGTCGCACCTCCACGACGACGACCATTTGTGATTCTTCAGTCGGTTCGATGGATCTTCTTTTAGCGTGGCACGTTTTCCAAGTGCCCATGGCAAAGGTTGGGTGGTGTCCGGTGGGCCGCCGATGATGTCGTGGTGGCGGGTGCTATCTGCTGCTCTGCCAATGGCGGGTCTGAGGCCGGCACTCTATTTTACTCCCATGTTCTCATGTCTAATCCTGGTGTTGGCCGATGGGTCTGTCGGTGGAGGTGGTGTTCGGCTCCGGTCATTATTTGGTCGTGGTCGCCGGCTTGTGTAGAGGAAGGAGATGGGCACGGGCCCCTGGTGCTGACCTGGTGGTGTTTCTCCTGGGGGGAACGGGGGGTTCTAGTTTGTGGTCCGATTCTAGTTAGCCGGTAGTTGGAGTTTCTATATCAATGTTTGGGCCAGGAATTGTGTTAATGTCTTTTTGGGTGGTTGCCTTCGGATTCTCGGTTCGAGTAGTAGAGGTTTGGTGCGGTCTTCAGCTGGTGGGAAGGGCTTTATTTTAGTGTAGTTATTAGGATTGTATTTTGGCTTCTTGTGGCTTTAGTGTTTTTTGTTTTGTTTTTTTCTAGCGTTTTTTATTGACCTTGAAAAACTTTTAGGCTAGTATTAATAGATGTATAATGTGGAGAGTGTTAGAAAAGAGGGGGAGTAGAAAAGAGGGGGTGCAAGTTGGTTATATATAAACCATAAAAGATATGTATAATAATGTGAAAACTTGTGTTTGGACACAAATAGGAATATCCGATGAATTCCCTATCACTATTGGTTTGCATCAAGGTTTGGCGTTAAGTCCGTATCTCTTTGCATTAGTAATTGCTGAACTTACGAAATATTTACAATTGGATATCATCGATTGCATGTTGTTTGCGGATGATATAATGTTAATAGATGAGGCGAGAGAGGGGGTAAATGTTAAGTTAGAAACTTGGAGAGATGCAGTTGAAACCAAGGGTTTCAAAATAAGTAGGACCAAAACGACATATATGGAGAGTAATTTTAGTAATCAAAGGAGTAATAATGGTGTAGAAGTTTAAATTGGGGAACACGAATTGAACACATCCAAAACTTTTAAATATTGAGGATCTATTCTAGAAGATAATGGCAACATAGATAAGGATGTAGCACATAGTATTCAATCGTATTGGAACAAGTGGAGGAGCGCGTCATTGATACTTGATCATAAAGTACCAGTGAGTTTCAAAGGCAAGTTCTATCGACCATCCATTCGACTGACGATGTTTTATGAATCCAAGTGTTGGGCTACTAAATATAAAAATGATCAAAAAATGCAAGTGGCAGAGATGAGAATGTTGAGATGGATATGTGGATGTACTAGGTTGGATAAGATTAGAACCGAAAGTATTAGAAATAAAGTTGGGGTAGCGCCCATAGATGAGAAAATGAGAGAATCACGATTAAGATGGTTTGGACATGTGCATAAGAGAGACTTCGAGGCACCAATGAGAAGGGTAGAAACATTAGATTTAAAAACGCAAATTAAAAAGAGGGAGGGGTAGACCTAAGAAAACTTAAAATGAGACAATAAGAAATTAATTTAAAATATTTAAATTAGAGAATGAGGATATGTGCTTTGATCGAGCATGATAACGACATGGGATCCATAGAGCCGACTCCACTTAGTGGGATTCTAACGGTTGGTTGGTTGGTTGGTTGGTTTTGGTTCAAGTCCAGTTTTGTTTGGTTCTAGTCTTCTTCATGAAGTTGCTTTATCTCCTTAATTTATGGAGTTGTGTTGGTTTGACTTTTGTTTGTTTTGTAGTCTTGTTGTAGTGCCAGTTGTGTAGTTTGTAGTGCAGTTTGTCGTGTAGGGGACACTCGTTATGTGTTTTCCTCCATAGGTTCCCTTTCTAGTTCCGATTAAAAGATGTATCATGTGTAATCCTTTGATTACGTACTTTCAAGGGAAAAATTAGAGATTTAGTCTTGTAAGTGGACCCAAATTGAGATTTAGTCCTCTCGGATACCCACTTTTGGAAGACGTCCCGTAAGTGCCAAAAATCATGATAAATCGTTCTCACACCGGCTACCGTAGGTAAATCTTACCGGCTGCTGGCATGGAATTTGCGTTCATTTTTTCTTTTATTTTATGAACCACGTCGGGAATACAGATCGACTACTGCTTTAAATTGGAGGGAAAATTGCACACACACTCACACACAAAAAACCTAATCGCTCAATCAAAAAAGCTGCTGAGAGCTGAGAGATCTTGCCAAATTCTCACCAAATTCGGGAGTCACAAATTCACCATGTCCTCGTCTATCAGTAACTCCAGGGTTTCCCCGGATTGTCGATGTAATAAGAAAACGAAGGTGTGGACCTCGTGGACTCCAGCCAACCCAGGTAGGCGATTCCGCGGGTGTGAAGATTGGGAGGTACTCTTTTTCCTTAAACGTGTACTCAAGCTCTCTCTGTTCCGCCATGTATTTATTCTTCTTTCAAAATTCACAAATATTATTTATAAGTGAAACACAATTGTTTCCCTAATTCAGGATGGAGGCTGTGACTTTTTTGCTTGGGAAGATCCCCCAATTCCTCGACGTACTGCATATGTCATTCGGAACCTTCGTGAAGAGAAGGATACCCTGTTGAAAGAGAAGGATACTCTGATGAAAGAAGTTGAAAATTTGAAGAATCAGAGGCGCAAATGGAAGATGTACTTTATAATTTCTTGGTGCTTAATTGTTTTGTTAAAGTGTTTAGGATTTGTCTAATGAGTGAGCCACATTTGTTGGTGCTTAATTGTTCTGTTAAGGTGTTTTGGATTTGTGTTAGAAAGTACTAGCAATTTCGTGTAGGGATTTTAAGAACTTGTTGAAGTTGAAGTTCCATGTGTGTGTAAGGACCAGTTCTTGTGTGTGTAATGCATCTGCCACATTGTTATAAATGCATCTGTAAGGAATCAGTTTTGGCTTGATATTGTTTTCCATGAAGTGAGTTTGTTTCCAATTCAGTGTAACGAGTTTGTTTCCAACCAGAAAAGAAAGTTATCTCGTAAGAACCTAATATTGGTTATGCTTATCATGTGTTTATATCTTGTGTTTGAACCTCACACAAGATCAGTTATGGTTATCGTATATAGTGTTTGGTTATATTGATTTCATATAAAAGGTTATAACCTAATATAGCACTAAAACAACATCCCAACACTCAAGTATACAACACCAAAACAATATAAAACCTGTAAAACCTGATACAACTGCTATAGGTATAAGCAGATTAAACCATCATACCATAGCCAAAGTTATAACCATCAAAGCATCAAACCATCAAACCATATCAATAACCATAAAACCAACATAGGCTTAATCATAAAACCATTGCCATAATTATAACACAAAAAGTTAAGTGTTTAAGATCCCAAACATAAGCTAACCACAACCAATCCCAGTTTCAATCCAAAATACAATCTTAAGAAAATAAAACCATAGCATAATCAAAACACTAATTAATGTTTCTTCATCCAAAAAAGGCAACTACATCAATTCTTCTTCTTTCTTTTGCCCTTCCCCTGCACCATTTTTGTACTTTGTTTAGCAAGACATGCATTCAAGTCTGAAAATGTGACATATTTCCGGGGCTTCATGTTATATGTTGAAGATCCACCAGGCTTATTGTTCCGTTGGGACCGAAGTTGGTCCCATATGGTTGGAGGTTGTTCTTGTGTAGCCTCATGCAATGCACCATCCTGAAAAGCAGTAAAAACTTTAGTATCATGCTAGCAGCACCATATTATTATGAAAATGTAAATAACTTAACTTTACTAATAATTATCACCTGGATAGCAATATGTTGATTTGGATTTGATGGCTTCTTAGGATTGGGAATTGAGGTCTTAGGAACCTATGAATTGCGAGTAATGAAGTACATATAATGAAATAAATGAAATAACATTATGATTATCATTATCACCTGTGGAGTTGGAGGGAGAATAGCTTCTTCTTGAGTGACTTGACTTGCAAATTCAGTTGTTGTATTCTCATGAAACTATGTAATTATAAATAAAAAAAATTATGTAAAGGATAAGAATAAACATAGAGGATAAGAAAAAATTATGTAATATCATTATTACCTGTGGAATAGGAGGGAGATTATCCTCTTGAGTGAGCTGACTAGCAAATTCAGTTTGGCTAGACATTTCACCTAAGGATGTGCTTTTGCAATGATTTTTGTTATGACCCTTTGCACCACAGTTACTACAAGTGATCACACTCTTTTGCCTTGGAATCTTGTGGGGATTAACACATTTCTGCCTTCTCCTCCTCTTCTTTTCTTTTGGCACAACCTCATCAAGTTCTAGCCTTCTAGCTGTTGTCGGTCTACCTGCCCCTCTCCCAAAATTGGGGGGCTTGGCAGGTATAAAGTTGGACATAGGCCATTGGTATCTGCCATTCATTGGCATCAAGATGCTTGCATATACAGCTTTGTAAGTATCCACATAGTAACATCTATCAACAAAGTCATTTATTTGAAACTCCCCACATCTAATGGCAAATAATGCATGAACACAAGGAATTCCAGTGAGATTCCACTTCCTACAACCACATGTCCTACTGGATAAGTCAACAGAAAATTGAGAACCATTGTTGCAGCTTATCTGATAGTTATATTCACTTGTTTTTATAGGGATACAATCAGGAATGTTCTGCAGGTTTTCTTGTACAATGTTATCAACCCTAGGGCAAATGACACTATACTTTTCCACTTCTTGCTAGCCCTATCTCTGGCATTTTGCATTTTTTCCATCAAATACAACTGAATCATTTCCAGCAGTGTTAGAATAGGCTTCTGTCTAGCCTCCAAAATGTTCCCATTAAAGGTCTCACAAAGATTGTTTAACAAGATGTCTGACTTAGCCAATGTGCTGAAATGAGATCTACTCCATTGGGCAGGAGGCTTGTCTTTAAGCTAGTCATAGGCCTTCTCATCTAGTTGTCTCACATCAGACATTCTCCTTACAAAATCATTCACAGTTGTGGCCTTTCCTGCCCTCCACACAACTGTTTTAAATGAATGTCCTTGAAAACCAGCTGTTCTCATGTTGTTTTGCATATGTCTAATACAAAACCGATGTTCAACATTAAAAAAATACATCATTGCATGCATGGATAAGACCTTTCTGCTTGTCTGACATAAAGCACCATTCATAATCATTTTCAATTCCAAGATCAGCCTTCAATAACCTCAAGAACCAACCCCATGATTCACCATTTTCAATTTCAACAACAGCATAACAAATAGGAAAAATACTGTTGTTTGGATCCAAACCCACAACTGTTAATAGGACTCCACCTTGTGCACTCTTTATATGACACCCATCCATTCCAATAACCCTTCTACACCCATTTAGAAAACCCATCTTCATTGAAGCAAAACAAACATAAATCCTCTCAAATGTTTGATCCTGGTGGAGCCCAATTAGAACCGTTGAATCAGGGTTAGATCTCCTGACCTCATTTGCATATGCCCACAACAGTGTGTATTGTTCCTCTATGCTTCCTTCCAGCTGCTCCAAAGCAAGTTTTTTTGCCCTCCATGCCTGAAATGGGGTGATATTACACCTTAGACTTTGCACACAATCAACTCTAAATCCTTTAGGTTTTCTTGTAGGATCTGACTGGAAAATGTGGAGATATCTCCCAGTTAACCAAGTTGAATTAAGATTTTTAATATTCATGGTCATTGGACAAGAATGTTTGGAGACATATTCTCTGATTTTATATGTCCTTGAATCATTAACCTTTATAGCATGCAACCTCCATTCACAATCAGGCTCAACACACTTAGCATGCAATCCGATGGTGTCATTCTTAGTAACTTTCACATTTCTTATATCCCTGATTGCATCTGAGTGAACTGCCATCCTAACTTCTTACTTTGTGCTGAAAACCATTCCAAGCTTCAACCTTGGATTGTAGAATTGCCCTAGATTGAACAGAGGAGCAACCTCCTTGTTCACCTCCTTTTCATCAGAATCCTTCCCGCTGTGGTAGTCATCCTCACTTTCCACCACATTTGAATCACCTAATTCATCATCTTCTTCAGAAGCTCCAACATGGAGTGATGTATTGTTATCACACCACTCCACATCAGAGTCTATGTGTTCAGTGAAAATAAGATCATCATCTTCATTATCACATTCTTTAGAATTAGGCTCAAAGTCAATGTCTTCACTATTATCACTCTCACCACTACCATCTCCCTCGTCATTTTTACCTCCCAATTCAGGCTCACAGTCCCTTCTTTCACACTGCCCACCAGCCTTAACTCCCACCTCAGCTTCAGAATCCTTTTTTTCACACTGCCCACTAACCTTAACTCCCAACTCAGCCTCATAGTCATAATTTGCCAATGATTCATCATCTATCTCCCAATCATTGCAGTCTTCATCACATGTGAGTCACTTAGCCCCATTATCAAAATAAATAATGAACACTCCAGAACCATTTATAGCCCCTTTCATGAAAATAAGTAATTCTTCATCTTTTTTTATTTCAGTAATGAGACTTACCTCTGTTTTTCCCCAGTAAGTAATGGTCCCCTTCATTTTCTCTCTAACTGCCAGTCTGTGAAGTGCTTCTAAAGACATCACACCTTCTTGGACGAAGTCGAACTTGTAAGCTTCCCCACCGATGTACTTCTTTTCCCAACCATTAGTATGGAAATGTCCCCTAAAATGGACACATAAGGTGAAGAGTTGGCTTTTCGAGTCTGCATACAAAACAAAAAAATAGATTATGACAAATTGGACTGTAACTTAGATGACGACAATGAACATTTCACCTAGGGTTTCGAAAATATCACATGAACTTCAAATTCGAAAATTTTACAAACATTTCTCAAATTAAGAAACAAACTTTAGATGATTCGAAACATTTACAAACAAACAAGAACTTACCATAATCGGGTGGTGGAAATTCAAAAGTGTTGGCCTGAACACCATTACATTGTCCATTGTCCTTTGCGTCACAATTTTCAGCGAACAGAAATTTTGCAGAAATTGGATTGTCGAGATTTAGGGATAATCGGGAATTTTTTTTTGTTAAGGGTTGAGAAAATGACAATTAGGGTTTGTGTGTGTGTGTGTGCAATTTTCCCTCCAATTTAAGGCATGACATATCATTTGTTGATCTGTATTCCTGACGTGGTACATAAAAGAAAAGAAAAAATGAAAGCAAATTCCATGTCAGCAGCCGGTAAGATTTACCTACGATAGCCGGTGTGAGGACGATTTATCACGATTTTTGGCACTTACGGGACGTTTTCCAAAAGTGGGTATCTGAGAGGACTAAATCTCAATTTGGGTCCACTTACAAGACTAAATCTCTAATTTTTCCTATTTTCAAGTGTTTGTCAATGAAATTTTGATGTTTGAAAAAAAAAATACTAAAGCAAAGACGGATATCTAGTGATGAAATGGACACTTTTTCGACTAAAAATAAAATTGCGGTCTATTATATTTGTTTACACTATTAAAATATTTATTTATTTTTTGTCTAATAATTTATGCCCTTTTAACTTTTATGAGAGTAATTATCCTAAAAGTTTGGATCAAAAATTATTTTCGACTAAATTATCGTGAGGAAACAATT